CCGGGCCCCGCCCGCCGCAGCCCCGGGCCCCGCCCCCCCAGCTCTGCCCCCGGGGCCGGGAAATGCTGAGTACGACTAAGCCCTGGGGGATCGGCCAGAGTAGGCCAGCTCTGTCCCTACCGCGCCCCCCAACCTTAGTGCAACCCCGTCTGTCCTTCTTGACGCCCCGCAGAGCCCTCTCTGCCTGCAGGGGAGGCTGCCAATGAAATCTCATAGACAACCCCCACTGGGGTGTGAATGGCTGACCATTCTTGGGTTTTAAGCTGTCAGGTCTGCTTCTCCGTGATTCTCAAGCTGGAGCCCTGAGGGGGAGAGGGAGAGGGTGTGCGGAGGCGGGAGGAGGAACCGCACCCCAGGGGATGGGAGCTCTGTTGGGATGAGCTCTTCCAAGTGTCTCACCCTAAGGCTGGGAGAAACTGGGGCAGGGGCAGAAGGTAGATAAGGAGGCCAGGAACACCTTTCTCATTCCTCTAGGCTTTTAACTTTATTTTGAGCATCTACTAAGCGTTGTGATAGGCAAGGAGGGTTCAGATCTCACTAAGATACAAACCCTCACTAAGATACTGACAAGAGTGCCACCCAGGGGTGCGATTTGAATCCTGGCTCCACCCCCTCACAGTTGTAGGATCTGGAACCAAAGCCCTTGATTGCCCCATCTATAATAATACCTACTGTTATGGGATTGTTGTGGGATTAAGTGAGTTCAGTATGTAAAGCACTCAACACTGCCTGGCACATAGTAAACACTCAGTTAACGTTACCTTTTATTACCACTAGTACTATTATTATTACAAAGAGATCACTATGCCAACATGACATACAGTCCCCTCCCCCATTATGCGTGGTGGATTGGTTTCAGGACACACCCCAACCCCACCCCGTGCATATGCGCGGGCACGTACACACACACACACACACACACACACACACACACACACACACACACACACAACTCTAACCCATTGCCATACTCGAATCCACACATATTCTAGTCCTGCAGACCACCAAGTCGGTCCTCCTTATACTGGGTTTTGATCCTGGAAATGTATTTTCGATCCCCTTTGGTTGAAAAAAAGTCCACATATAAGTGAACCCACGTGGTCCAAACCCATGTTGTTAACGGGTCAACTGTATTTCCAGAGACAACCCATCTGGGCAGGACATTAAGGAATCATAGTATAGGAGCACCAATTCTGTCAGGGCAGCAGCGGGCGAGGAGGGTCCTTAGGAGACTTCCTGGGGGAGATGATGCCCCCAATGAGTCTTAAGAGGGGTTGGTTGTTGGGAAGGGTGACACAAGACATTCTTGCAGGACATTTCTCCAGGGCCCCCTATAGGTTCACAAACTGACACTGCCTGGGGTTTGCAAGCTGGCACTCTGTCAACTCTGCCGACAGGGGCAAGGAGGCAGAGAGCACAGGACCTGCCTCTGCCCACCACCCACAAACCAGATGAGCCTGGGAGAGAGAGGCTTGTGTCTTGTAGAAAGGCTGAACACTGCAAGGAAAGGCACACTGGACTCAGAACACGTGAAAATGGATTCCAATCTCTGTTCCTCCATTTCCAATCCTGACTCTGGAGCCAAGAAGTTACCAAGAGGCAGATTTGCGGTCAGCATGCAGAACTCTTTGACAGAGTAGCCCACAGTGAAAGAACCAGCCTGGTACACGAATAAACTCCCTGTCACTGAAAGCATATAAGCAGGAGGCTGGCTGGTATGTGGCAGAGGTGGGGCAGGACAGCCTCTGAGATCTCTGGTCTAATCTGGACTTTGGCCTCAAGCAAGGCCTTAACCACTCCAAGTCCCACCATGGGCTTATTTGCTCCCAACCCTCCTCCCAGGATTGTCATTAGAGTGGAGCAAGACTCCAGACAACAGTGCTGGGGTAAGCAAGAAAACTACTGAGTAGGTTTCCTCTAAGGACGGAAAAACAGGTGAGGAGATTTTGCTTTTCATTGTCTATCTTTCTTGTTGCTGAAAATTTCTACTATGAGCTGATTTTTGAGTTGGAGTCTCACTCTGTCGCCCACACTGGAGTGCAGTGACCGCTCCCAGCCACTGCAGCCTCGACCTGCTGGGCTCCGGCGATCCTTCCACCTCAGCCTTCCAAGTAGCTGGAACTACAGGCGTGCACTACTTCGCCCAGCTAATTTTTTGATTTATTGTAGAGATGAGGTCTCGCCTGCCCAGGCAGGTCTCAAACCCGCGGGCTCAGGCAATCCACTCACCTCAGCCTCCCAGAGGCTCGGGGTTACAGGCTGAGCCACCGAGCCCGGTGAGCTGATTACTTTTATAATAACAGAATCGTGGCTAACGAGGGATAATGGAAAAGGTATGGGTTTTTGTGCCAAGATCTAAACCACCTCTTAGGAGAGGTGTGACCTCGGGCGAGTCACATGACCTCCGTGAGTGTCAGGTTCCTCACCTCGAAGATATGTACTTTTTTTTTTTGAATTGGAGTCACCCAGACTGGAGTGCAGTGGCCGCTCCCAGCCACCGCAGCCTCGACCTGCTGGGCTCCGGCGATCCTTCCGCCTCAGGCTTCTGAGTAGCCAGAATTACAGGCATGCGCTACCACACCCGGCTGATTTTTTTATTTTATTGTAGAGATGAGGTCTCGGCTGCCCAGGCGGGTCTCAAACCCGTAGGCTCAGGCATCCACTCACCTCAGCCTCCCAAAGGCGCGGGATTACAGGCTGAGCCACCGAACCTGGCTAATATGTACTTTTCAAAATGGTGGTATGGATTAGAGCGATGATAACACTACAGCAATACAGATTCTTTTCAGTGCTCTCTGTGGTCACCCTGTGCTGAGTGCTTTATCCATGTCACTTATTTAATCTCACAGCCACCCCCAGAAGGTAGGTAGTTTTGTCTCCATTCTGGTTGAGAAAGCTGAAGTTGAGAAAAATTATCTACCTTCTGTCCCTACCCCAGTTTCTCCCAGCCTTAGGGTGACAAAGCCTCACCTGGAAAGCTGGGGCTCCCAAAACCTACACCAGTGCTGAAATGCAGAGGGAAGATTTACGTGGACTTGTGTGAGGTACAGGCCCAGCTGAGCCCTGGCAACATGTTTGAAGGAAGCAAAGCAAATGCTTGTCCCCCGGGTCTCAGCCCCTACTCACACTGCCAACCCCCCCAAACCTGCACTTCTAATGCAGCACCCTGGGATGCACTATCTTCTAACTCAGGGGCTGGCACACTTCTTCTGTAAAGAGCCAGATAGTAAATGTTTCAGCTTTGCAGCCAAACAGTCTCTGTTATTTTAGCATAAAGGCAGCCTGAGACAATTCACAAATAAATGGATGTGGTGTGTTCTCATAAAGCTTCATTTATAAAAATAGGCCTATGGGCTGTCATTTGCATATCCCTGTCTTATTATTTTTATTTATTTTTCTGAGTCAGCATCTCACTGTTGCTCAGGCTGGAGTGCAGTGGCATGATCACGGTTCACTGCAGTCTCAACCCCCTGGCTCAGATGATCCTCATGCCTCAGCCTCCCGAGTAGCTGGGACTACAGGCTCCCACCACCATGCCTGGCTAATTTTTTGATCTGTTGTAGAGACGAGATCTCGCCAAGTTGCTCATGCTCGTCTCCAACTCCTGGGCTCAAGCAATCCTCCTTACTCAGCCTCCCAAAGTGGGATTACAGGCATGAGTCACCATGCCCAGCCCACCTCTGTTTTAACTCCTTTCTGCATCAGAACTCCCCAGTCCTGTGTCCCATCTCCTAGCCAACATGCCTACCTGCTCCATGCTGATGACAGTGGGCCAAGACAGTGTCATCCAAAGTGTGATTGTGCACCACAGGTGTATATGAATCAGGCTGGGTATTACAAAGCTGCTTTTCATTTTAATAATTGCATAGTTAAATTTATGTATTTATGTAAATTTATAAATTTGTGTAAAATACATAATTAGCCATTCAAATCCTGATTCCTCACACATTCATTCATTCATACAGTCAATATTTATTAAGCACCTGCCGTGTTCCAGGTACTGTCCTAGAAGCTGGGGATTCAGCAGTGAACAGGACAGACCAGAAGTCCTGCCCACATGGAGCTCACATTCCAGCATGAACATCATGACTGCATGTTCTTTTGTTTTGTTTTGTTTTGTTTTGTTTTTGTAGAGACAAAAATATCGCAACTCCTAGCCTCAAGCAATCCTCCCTTCTGGGCCTCCTAAAGTGCTGGGATTCCAGGGATGAGCCACCACGCTGGGCCCACCTACATGTTATTTAATGTTTGGTGTGAGAAGATGAGAGGTGCCGGAGGGGGAGGAGAAAGGAAGGTCTAAGGAATGCAGAGGTGGGGACTTTGAACAGAGTTTGTACACGAAGATCAGGGTAGAGGTTAGTGAGAAGATATTTGAGTAGATAACTTGCAGCAGGGGAAAGTGTGAGCCAAGCAGAATTCTGGAGGAAGAAGGTCCCAGGCAGCACAAAGACCCTAAGGCAGGGGTATATGTGGCATAAAGGAGGAGGCCATACTGGGTAGAAACAAGAGCTTAACTTCTTCTTCTTCTTATTGAGTCATTGTCTCACTCTCACCCAGGCTGGAGTACAGTGGCAGGATCACAGCTCACTGCAGCCTCAACCTTCTGGGCCCAGGCAATCCTTCTGCCACAGCCTCCTGAGTAGCTGGGGGTACAGGTGCATGCCACCATACCCAGATAATTTTTTTATTTTTGTAGAGACAAGTTCTCACTATGTTGCCCCAGACTTGTCAGCTCCTCCTGGTCTCAAGTGATCCTCCCGCCTCAGCCTTCCAAAGTGCTGGCATTACAGGTGTGAGACACCACTCCTGACCCAAGAGCATAGCGGGCCAGATGTAGTGGGTTCATCCGCCACTACATCTTGGCTGAATTGTGGAAAGACAAGGACCAGGTTTGGAACAGCACAGTGGTGCTTGCACATGACAAACATTGAAGAGGTTAGGCAAATGCAGGTCAATGGGTTGCCCCTTTCTGGCGTCATAGGTGTGATATTAGGGGGTCCTTCTGCAGACTTGCCTTGATGCAAAGGGTTTCCTTAACAGGTGAGAAGGCGTGTGTTTATGTATATTTTGGTGTGTTTGGGGGCAAGCTGCAAGGCTCCACCATTGAGTCTCCTCTCCCCTCCTGTTCAGGAGTTACGACTTCTTCTAGAGCCATTTTGGGTGTCCAGTGTGATGGCTCCATCCCTCCTAGTCTTCACACCCTAACTCCCCATTCAGGAAAGCCCTCGGGCACCAGCATCCTGCCCTTGAGGTTGGAACTCAAAGCCCATAATCTGCTTTGGCCCCTTAGCCTCAAATATTAGTGAGTTTTAAATAGCCACTGAGCTCCAGTTTTCCCAAGAAGCCCCGCCCACGATGGCGCTGGGTTCTTCTGGGCAGTCAGGGGAAGAGCCTCTCCTGGGCCTGCCGAGGGCACGTGGCAGAGCATCCTCATGTCCTCACCCTTCCAGTGAGCGGCCAGCGGGGTAGAGAGCTGTGTTTGCAAATTTGGCTTCTTCCGCCACTACACCTTGGCTGAACTGTTCCAAATCAATGGAAGATTTATATATTTTTTAATTTTTTAAAACGTATTTCTATCCTTTATGTCAGAGTCTCACTCTGTCACCCAGGCTGGAGTGCAGTGCAGTGGGGCGATCATGGCTCACTGCAGCCTCAACCTCAGGCAATCCTTCCACCTCAGCCTTCCGAGGAGCTGGGACTACAGTCATGCCCTATCATGCCCAGCTAATATTTATTTGTTTGTTTGTTTGTTTTTGTAGAAAGGAGGTTTTGCTATGTTGCCTAGGCTGGACTCAAGCAATCCTCTTGTCTTGGCATCCCAAAGTGCTGGGATTACAGATGTGTGCCACAGTACCAGGCCAGAAGATGTACCATTGAAAAAAAATAACAAACATCTTAGGGAATGCCCCCAATGTCCATGGCAGACACAGGTGAATAAACTGAGGCTGAGAGGGGAGACAATGGGCTCAAGGATGTCCAGCTGATGAAAGCTGGGGACCCAAACCTATAGTCCCTAACTCGTCTTCTAGCATCCCCTCTAGGTTATCGGAAAGTCCTCACCCCACACGTCTACCTTAGGAGACATATGAGGGGGCACCCCCCAAAAACGGGATTATCTTTTGGAGGGTGAGTCTCTTGTAGTACAGGCTTCCCCCGCTAGGTAAGTGTTCTAGGAATCCAGTGGCATCATTGTACCAGCTAGTGTTGTTGTGAGAGGCTACGTTTGGCTTCCGTGAAGTTTTTTTGGAGTTTTTTTTTTCAATACATTTTCCCATTTTGTGATGGGTGACTTATAAGGGCATCTGCCTACACTGCTGAGTGTTCAGCAGTTTTGATCCCAAATGGCATGGTTCCAGTGCCCTGCCCTCCCTCTTCACCCAATCTCACCCCCAGTGACTCTTTTTTGTTTCCCCAGATGAAAAAAATCCTCAAAGGGAAACGTTTTGCCAATGTAGAAGAGGTGAAACAAAAAACGGCAGAAGCATTCAAAGACGTCCAAATTGACGAGTCCATAAATTTTGAGCAGTGGAAAAAGCATCTCGATAGGTGTATTGCATCAAACAGAGAGTACCTTGAAGGTGACTGAAGTTTAAACATGTAAGAATAAATATACAATTTTTTATAAGTTAAGTCCGTTTTTTTGGAGGTCCCCCTGGTACAATTTGACCACTGTGCAAACCTTCAGACTCACTTGAGAACAGATGATCTGAGGTCACTGGGTACATGGGAGTTAGAAGTATTCTGGATTCCCCAATGACCAGGCAACCCTGCCTGTCTCCAGACCTAGTATCCACAGAACATCGTGAGGGACCCAGCTGACGTGGTCCTGCCCATCCCAGACTGGCACGGCTGGATACTCATCATCCTGCTCACAGCTCTCCCCCCCACACCCTGTATCCTCAGGAGCATCAAAGGGTCTTTGCAAAATCACCACGTATAGGACCAGCACAGCGTGGGTGCTCAGTGACCAGCTTGGACATTTGGAGTAAACCAAGATGTGCATGTGGCAGAGGCAGAGGAAGTCATAGATTCCGTCTTAGATTACACTGATGTGCAGGCCTCTCTGCCTTACCCTAGAGTGTGAGGGCAGGGGCTGGGCACGGTGGCTCACTTTGGGAGGCCAAGATGGGAGGATCACTTTAGGCCAGGGGTTCAAGACCAGCCTGAGCAACCTAGAGAGACCCCATCTCTATTATACATAAAGAAAGTAAGGGTGAGGATGAGTCTGATTCATTTCTGACCACCTCCAGTGCCTGACTCACCGTAGGTGCTTAACAAGCATTGAAGCCCTTATGTCGAAAGCCAACTTCCCAAAGAAACAAATGACCATGATGAAATGATTACTCTAGCAGACACTTCTGCGCTCCTACCCAATCTTCCTCACCCCTAGGCTCTCCAAGGGATCCTTCCAGCACTCCCTACTCTGACCCCAGCCCCCGGCTCACCTTGTTGAAGTCAAAAGTCTCAAACATCTGCTCCACGTACTGGCTGGCTGACGGGCTCAGGTTCTTAAGGCCGAAGAACTGGCGGAACTCGTAGAGGGTGAGCTGGCCCGAGGGGCATTCAGTCATGAACTTCTTGTACCACTGGTGGCACTCGGTGCTGCTCAGCTCCTCCACCGATTTCCCCTCCATGACGTTGCCCATCACCCTGGCCTGAGGGGGGCTGCTGCCCAAGGTCGAAGGGTCCTGTTCGCTGCTTCTCCTGGCACAGAGGCGTCCTGGCCTTCTAAGATGGGCCCTCTGCTCTCGCGGGTCTGAATCCTCCCGGACTGAGCAAGAACGGCCTGGTACAGTGGATGCACAGGGAGATGCCAAGAGGAGAGAGCTGAGGGAGTGGTGGAAGCCCACACCCCAGTTCACAGGATGCCAGAGACCAGTGTGAAAAGTCCCCACTAAACCCTTGCAGCCAGTGGAGCCTGCAACCTAAGGAAGAGGGCTGAAAATAGAACGGGGCTTAGAGAAGCAGAGGGGCTTAGAGAAGCAGAGGCCCAGGATTACAGCCTTGAGCTACAGGTGAGAGGATTTTTTTTACCCAGTTTGCAATCTTGTAATCCCTTCTTACCGCGATGGAGTGGGTGGTCACCCAGCAGCTGCTCTGATCCTATGACCTCCATGACCTTCTTCTCCTGTTTCAGGTGGGTCCACAATATGTTAGGTGCCTGCCCTCAGCCATGGAATTGAGGTATATATGAGACAGAGCTGGTTCTTCTTCCAGAGTGGACTCTTGGCCGGGTTACTGTATATAGTTATCCAGCCTGTGCACTGCACTTGGCCATCCCAGCTGGGGGGGTTCGATCACACCATGGATATCCTAACATAGGAGAGCACCTGGGTGGGTGTAGAGCTTGTGAGCTTCCAGGACTTTCCCTAAACAACCGAAGGGAACCCTCTCCTACATTAGCCTGTGTTGGTTCACATAGCTGTACACACACACACACACACACACACACACACACACTCACACTCACACTCACATATACACTGGTCCTGTTCTGACCACACTTTCATGTTCCCGGAGGGTGCATCTCTCCTATTCTGATTTCAACCCTTCATCTGACTCCGAAGCGGACACCATCACCCACTGGGGACTTGAGAGTGGGGGGCATGTGGGATGTGCCGAGTGCCCTGGGGTACGTGTGTGTGAGTGCAGACACATAGGTGCATGGGTGAGCTACTATCTGCCAGTCCTGGAAAACTCCCACGAGCCTAGGGCCTATGTAGCAGTAGCTTTCTATGATGCCTGGTGGGATTGCTACCCTCTGACCACAGACTTTAAAGCGGGTTCATTGGCTGGGCATGGTGGCTCATGCCTATAATCCCAGCACTTTGGAGGCAGAGGTGAGAGAATTGCCTGAGCTCAGGGTTTCAAGACCAACCTGGGCAACTTGGCAAGACCTCATCTCTACAATAAATCAAAAAATTAGCCGGGCATGGTAGCGCGTGCCTGTAGTTCCAGGTACTTGGAAGGCTGAGGCGGAAGGATTGCCGGAGCCCAGCAGGGGAGGCTGTGGTGGCCAGGAGTGGCCACTGTACTCCAGACTGAGTGACAGAATGAGACTCCAACTCAAAAAAAAATGCAGCTAGTGCTGCCCTTTCCCTACTTTTGGTCTTGGATGTGGACATGATGCCTGGAATGCAGCAGCCATCTTGTACCATGAGGTAATTAGCAAAAGGAAAGGCCACAAAACCAGTGATGTCAGCCATCATTGTTGACCTGCTAAACCTGTGACAATACTTGCCCTCCCCTCCATATTTCTGGTTATTTTTTTAAATGATCCTCTCTATATTTAAACAAAAACCAAACTAGACTCCTCAGAGGTAGTTTGAGAACAGAAGCACCAAGAAGATGGTGGTTCTTAAGTAACTTTGTGTGAAGAATGCCAGGCTATCAGTCCCAGGAAGCTTCCCTAAGAACTGGACAGAAGGATGACCGGGGACCTGGAGAAGGTCAGCTCGGAGAGGCAGGCCAGCTTTGTTAAGGAGATGCAGTCAGGGGCTTCCAGCCATCAGAGAGGCTCGCATTCACGAACTGTGACCACTGCCTGGGCTGAGGGATCCCAAAGTGATGGAGGTCTATGCCCCTTGACACTTCTCCACCTCAGCAGCCCTTTCTTGGGTGGATACCCCTTTTCAAGAGTGCAGGACACACGTAAGCCACCAGCCCTAGGACCCTGGACACATAGAGAGGGGACTTCCTCTTTGACCAAGGAGTTCCAAATGGAACAGGCCCAAGGGCTTCCTCAGATCTGGGCTGGGACAGGGAGGGTTGCCTCTCGGTCTCTGCCTCGCACGGACATCTACTGGGTATGGCGGGGGACTGGGAAGAGCTATGCATGCTGGGCCAGGTCTGCCTTCCTGGATCTGGTCTTTCTCCCCAGGAGCAGTTTTGATGCTTTCCGTCATGAAAGCCTGCAGGTTGGTCTTTCTCCCTTCTCATCCTGCCACTCTTTCCTATTGTTCCAAGCAAGTAGCTCCACAAGCCCAGACCTTTGAATGCCCCTTAGAAGACCAGAGAGATACTGTTGTCCCTGTCACTTATTGTAGAAAGAAACAGCCCAAATGCTAACGGGGCTTTCTCCGGAGTCATGGGCTCACCAGTGTTGTTTTTTTTCTCTATCATTTTTTTTTTAATGTTTTCAATGGACCAGGCACAGTGGCTAACTCCTGTAATCCCAGCACTTTGGTAGGCCAAGGCAAGAGGATTGCCTGAGCCCAGGAGTTCGAGACCAGCCTGGGCAACTTGGCTGACCTTGTCTCTACAATCAATCATGAAAAATTAGCTGGGCATGGTGATGTGGGCCTGTAGTTCCAGTTACTTGGAAGGCTGAGGCAGAAGGATCGCCTGAGCCCAGCAGGTCGAGGCTGTGGTGGCCATGAGCGTGCCACTGCACTCTAGCCTGGGTGACAGAGTGAGACCCTGACTCGAAAAAATAGATATAATTTTTATTTTATTTATTTATTTATTTTTTTTTTTTTGAGTTGGAGTCTCAACTGAGCAACCAGCCTGAGCAACATAGTGAAACTTCATCTCTATTAAAAAAAAAAATTAGCTGGGCGTGGTGACACACCCCTGTCCGCTGTAGCCCTAGCTACTTGGGAGGCTGAGGCAGAAGGATCACCTGGGCCCAGGAGGTCAAAGCTGTGATAAGCCTTGATTGTACCCCTGCCCTCCAGCCTGGATGACAGAGTGAGACCACGAAAAAAAAAAAATTAATGGTTCATAATGAACATATGTTATGCACATAATCAAAGAGGGTAGTTATTTTTAAAAAAGAAACCAAACAGGATTGTTTCACCTCATCTCTACCTAAAGTGATTGATTTAGGGTACATGGGAGTGGGGAGCCAGGATCGCCCCACTTTGACTAGGTTCTCCACAGCCTGTTGGAGGAGGGCAGAGAAGGCCCTTCAGTGAACTTACTTGGGGCCAACTGGAACCTGTCCTTGTAGAAGCCTCTCGGGCTCAAGATTTGGAAATAAAGAGTTCCAGGAGAAGGCAGTAGCTCATCTTTCCTTTACTACCTGTTTAAATCCTTCTCAGCCCAGCACAGTGGTTCATGCCTGTAATTCCAGCACTTTGGGAGGCCAAAACAGGATTGCTTGAGCCCAGGAGTTCGAGACCAGCATGGGCAAGCATAGCAAGATCTCATCTCTACAAAGAAGTCAAAAAAATTAGCTGAGTGTGGTGGCAGGCCTGTAGTCCCAGTTACTTGGGAGACTGAGGCAGGAGGATAGCTTGAGCTCAGGAGTCTGAGGCTGCAGTGAGCCATGATTGTGCCACCACTGCACTCAACCTGGGTGACAGAGTGAGACTTGTGACTCTAATAAATCTCCTTCTCTTTCTTCATGTGTGAGTACAAATGCCACCTCCTGCAGAATTCCTCTTTCCGCCTTGGAACACTGACATTCTACTGAAGTGTCCTGATTGGTTAATTTTAGCTTAGTTTAACTGGATTAAGGGATACCCAGATAGCTGGTAAAGCTGGGTATGAAGGTGCTTCCCGAAGGGATTGGCATTTTAATTAGTAGGCAAAGTTAGGGAGATTTGTCCTCACCCTGAGTGAGAAGGCACCATCCAACTGGCTGGATAGAACAAAAAGTCACTGAGGAAAGGCGAATTATTCTCTCTCCTCTCCTCTCTTATCCTCTCCTCTCCTCTCCTCTCTTCTCTTCTTCTTCTCCTTCTCCTTCTCCTTCTCCTTCTTCTTCTTTCTTTCTCTCTCTCTCTCTCTCTCTCTCTCTCTCTCTCCCCCCCCTCCCTCTCCCACTCCTGGAGCTGGGACGCCATTCTTCTTCTGTCCTTAGACATCAGAACTCCAGGTTCCTCAGCCTTTGGACTCTGGGACTTTGGGACTTGCACTAACAGCCCCCTATCCCCACCCTGGGGTTCTCAGACCTTCAGCCCTGGACTAGAGCTACACCACCAGATTCCCTGGTTCTGAGGCCTTTGGACTTGGACTGAACCATGCTACTGGTTTCCCTGGTTATCCCGGTTGCAGATGACATATTGTAGAACTTCTCAATCTCTCAGTTGTGTGAGCCAACCCCCCTAATAAATCCCTTCTCCTCTCTCTTTCTGTATATATTTATCCTAGTGGTTCTGTCTTTCTGTAGAGCCCTAATATATGTATTATTTTTCTATTGCTATATAACAAGTTGCCAAAAAGTCAGCAGTTTTAAAACTACACACATTTATTATCTCACAGTTTCTGTGGGCCAGGCATGACTTAGCTGGTCTCACAGTCAGCAATCAGTGTGTCACCTGGGCTGTGTTTTTTTTTCTTTTCTTTTCTTTTCTTTTTTTTTGAGTCGGAGTTCCTTTCTGTCACCCAAGCTGGAGTGCAGTGGCACGCTCATGGCTACCGCAGCCTCGACCTTCTGGGCTCAGGCGATCTTCCACCTCAGCTTTCCAAGTAGCTGGAATCACAGGCCTGTACCACCATGCCTGGTTAATTTTTTTGATTTATTGTAGAGATGAGGTCTCACCAAGTTTCCCAGGCTGGTCTCGAACCCATGAACTCAGGCAATCCTCTTGCTTCTGCCTCCTAAACAGCTGGGATTACAGACGTGAGCCACCGTGCCCAGCTGAAACCTTGGTCTTACTCAGGTCTCGCATCCTCTCAGCACCTGTTACCATGTGTGCCACAGGATCATGTGCTGGTCATTCTGTTCACCCCTACACCATTCTCCATCTTTCTTATCCAGCTCTGAGCCCCAGGAGCTGACCCTGTGGACTGGGTCACCCATGCTCTGTTGCACTCTGGCTTCAGGCTGGGTTAGTCCACAGAAAAGCTGGAGGGAGACTGGAGGGTGGAAAGGGAGAAGGGCCGGGCGTTGGTGCCCCTCACTCCTCCCTGCTGACTCACAGCTTGGCCGTGGGGTTTCTTCTGCTTCCCACCATGCTCCTGCCACAACCCTCTGGCTCCTGTCATCATGGTTCCCTTCCTTTGCACAGGCTGGTGTGATAAGGGCTTCGTTCTGTGGCTCCTCTCTGGGTCCACCACCATCCCTTTAGCTATGCCCACTGCCCTGTTAATAGTCCCTTCATTGAACTCTCCCCAAGTAACACTTGACTGACAGGGGGCTCAAACTCAATAAAATATTACTAAATGAGTGAGTGCACACATACACGATTAAACAGAGAGGCCAAGCACAGCGGCTCACAGTGACTGTAATCCCAGTATTTTGGGAGGCTGAGGCAGGAGGATTGCCTGAGCCCAGGAGTTTGAGATAGGCCTGGGCAACATAGCGAGACCTCATATCTACAAAAAAAAACCAAAAAATTATGTGGGTGTGGTGGACGTGGTGCCTGTATAGTCCCAGCTACTTGGGAGGCTGAGGTGGAAGGATTACCTGAGCCCTAAAAGTCGAGGCTGCAGTGAGCCATGAGCGTGCCACTGCACTCCAGCCTGATTAACCAAGTGAGACTCTGACTCAAAAATAAAATAAAATAATAAATAAATAGAGAGAGGATTAAAGAAAGTGAAAATAGTGTAGAACTATGCTTAAATACCGACTATGTTTAAGACCTCACGCTAAGCTTGTTGAATACGCACCCAAGCCGTGTAGGGTGGGCACTAATATTTCCATGCGAGACAAAAGGAATTTAGGACAGAACAGTTAAATCACTACTCAGGTTCACAAACCTTTTAGTGGCGGTACCTAAGTTTTTCCACCTTATCATCACGCATTTAGCCGAAGCCTTCAAATTTCTGCAGAGGGCTGGATGGAGCCAGAGGGACCCCTTGCCAGTCCCTCACTCCAAAGCCATCTCCCTCTGGCCTCCCCTTGTGGCCCTCTGCCTGACAGTTCCATTGACAGAGAGCTCACTAACCCGGGGTGGGGGTGGAATCCCCTGCTACAAGGCCACCAAGTCAGAGAGGATAGGGACAGCTACCAAGACCTCAAGGAAGAGGCATGCATGAAGTATCCAAGAGGGGCACAGAAGGCCAGAGTGTGGATCACACAGTGGACACAGCGAAAGAGAGCATGTGGCTTCCCTGGGTTGCTCTGTCTGCAGGAATCCCTCCTAGGACAGATGCCACATCAGAGAGAGAGAGACTCCACCTGGCTGAATGGGGCCAAGGAGCAGAAGCAGGGGCAGGTGTGAGGGCAGAGTGAGTCAGGAAGAGACAGGAGGGCAGCAATCCTAGGCCTGAGTAATCCCCTTCCCAGGCAGTCTGTCTGCCCTCTCTCTCCTCTACAGAAAAACAGCTGGGACCTGAGCACGGGTTCATTTGCCTCCTGAGACTATCTCACCTAAGTCAAGGTGAGACCATGGTTAGTTTCTCTACTGATTTTGAGACAGGGTCTCACTCTGTTGCCCAGGCTGGAGTGTGGTGGTATGATTGTAGCTTACAGCAGCCTCAAACTCCTAGACTCAAAGGATCCTCTCGCCTCAGCCCTCCCGAGTAGCTGGGACTACAGGTGCACACCACCATGCCAAGCTAATTTTTTTTTTTTTTTGAGTTGGAGTCTCACTCTGTCGCCCAGACTGGAGTGCAGTGGCCGCTCCCGGCCACCGCAGCCTCGACCTGCTGGGCTCTGGCGATCCTTCTGCCTCAGCCTTCTAAGTAGCCGGAATTACAGGCATGTGCTACCACACCCGGCTGATTTTTTTTTATTTATTGTAGAGATGAGGTCTCGCTGCCCAGGTGGGTCTCGAACCCTCGGGCTCAGGCAATCCACTCACCTCAGCCTCCCAAAGGCGCGAGATTACAGGCTGAGCCATCGAGCCCGGCTCCAAGCTAATTTTTTAAAAATTTTTTGTAGAAAGGGGGCCAGCCTTGTCTCCAGCTCCTGGCCTCAAGCCGTCCTCCCACCTTGGCCTCCCAAAACGCTGGGATGACAGGCCTAAAGGATTTGTGTCCATGGAGGCTGTTCTACTAAGGTGAACCTCAAGGGGGAGCTCATTCCCTAGGGCAGGGGATGAGGCTCTGTTGGGAGAGTGAAGATTCCTGATGGGGGCCCTTGCCCCTCACCCCACATAGGCTCTAAGATCTGGGAGGGCAGAAATGGCTTTGCAGAGAAACGTTCATATCTTTGCCTCTTAAGGACCCAGCCCACAGTGTCTATTGAGTGACTGACTGAATGAAACAGACTTCCGGTTCTGTATTGACTGAAAACTTCCATTTATCTCTGCTTCTTTTCCATATCCTACTAAAATGCCAACAAATGCATTTTTAAGAGCTGCATATCCACAGAGACAAAGAGAAAGAAGGCAACAGACGAAAGGTTCTAGTGAAAATTTGGGCAACAGAAGGACAATGAGTAACTGTCTTTCTTATGAGAGTGGAGAAAGCTGAAACCTAAATGCTTTCAAAGATGAGGATGATAAGGGGCTTGGAACAAACACAGATGTATTCCTGCCACAGAACTCTGGGGGCCTAGGAGGTGGGAGCACCAGGCTGGGATGCCCGACACGTGTGGCAGAAAATAGGACTGATCCAAAGCCTGTATAAAGCACCAGTAGCTTCTCAGATGCCATTTGCAAGCCAACAAAACAGGCATCTCAAGGCATCAATCTCCACCTGACCCTGGTTGTAGGTTATTCTGGAGACTTGGACCACAAGGCCCTATGTCTAGGCACAGCCTCTATCTCGAGGGAAGGGCATTCTGAAAATGGAGAGTTAAAAGAAAGTCTGTGCCAGGCACAGTGGCTCATGCCTGTAATCCCAGCACTTTGAGAGGCCAAGGCAGAAGCATTGCTTGAGCCCAGGAATACGAGACCAGCCTGGACCACATAGCGAGATCTTGTCTCTATAAAAATAAAAATAAAAATAAAAATAAAAAATAGCTGTGCGTGGTGCTGCACACCTATAGCCCCAGTTACTCGGGAGGCTGAGACAGAAAGATCATTTGAGTCCAGGAGGTTGAGGCTGCAGTGAGTGTGAGCATGCCAGTACTCCAGCTTGGATGACAGAGAGAGACCCCAACTCAAAAAAAAGAAAAGATAAATAAAAGTCTGCATACGAAGAGTGAGACCACCCCCCACCTCCTCATGGGCTCCTTCCCGTGCTTGGCTCCTTGAATTCTGATAACCAGGCAGAAGGAGAGAACTGTACAGATGCCCAGTGGCCTGGTGCCAGCCAAGGATCACCAAGCATTTGAGGAAAGCCTCTGACTTGAAAGAGAGCCTACAATAAGCAGACGGAAGGTCTTGGATTCTGTGCTGCTCGGGTAACCTCGAGAGATCTTCTCTTCACTCCTCTCTGCTCCCATCTTCTCAGAGAAAGGTCTCCAGGGCAACCTGGCCAAGGCCACTGTCTACTTATCTCCATCCCCAGATACCTGTCTCCTTCCCACATCAGCCCCTAACCTCATGTGCACAAGAAGTATGCCTCACTGAATACACCACCCTACCTAGAGTGAGATGTCAACCCCAGGAATGAAAGCAACTGGGTTCACCCAGTAGTGTGCTGGTCAATATTGAACCATGTTTTCTCTCTAGAAAAAAGAAATGCCAATTCATAGGCATTTGCTGATTTCCACAGGTCATCGCTGATCATGGAGTAGGGAAGACATGAGCATAATTACCTCTCACAGGCCAGTGTGAGTTGGCCCCAGTACACCACTGGAGTGACTCCTGGGTGGCAGTGACCTGGGACTCTCTCGGGCCAAGTGCCTCTGTCTCCATTCCCCTCTTCTGTGACCATGAGCCTAACTAGTCTCAGAGTCGGCTCTTCTGGACCAGAAGAGAGAGCAGGGATGGTGAATCTATCCCCCACCAACAAACCACAAGTCCGAAGAAGCAGTTTTATGTAAAACCAGGGCTGGGAGCGGACTCCCTAGAGGCTGTGTTCAACTCCCTGCAGTTCTTCCCCATCCTGCAATGGCTGCTCCAACCCGGCACGACCTTGTAAGAGAGCAGGGGTCTTGGTCAGCTGATGGATCTCTTTTTTTTTTT